CCCCCCCAGGATTTGAAATCTGCAACGAGGCAGGGGAAGCCCTGGCTGTGGATGACAAGTTGGCACAGAAAATCAAGGTGGGTATCTTTGTTCTTTGAAACAGGCTTTTCCTGAAGATGGCTTTCTCTCATATAATTGCTGTCTTCATTACTACACAACCTCAGTGCTTTCTTGTCCTATCTCCATTTTTTTAAACATTGAAAATGTGACTTCTTCTTAGGCTCACTCTTTGTTATGAAATGTTTTTACTGTTATTAAAAATGGAGATAGGACGAGAAAGCACTGAGGTTGCGATTATTGCACTGCTCTGCTTCAGTGATCAATGTTTATAGCGATGTGTAGCAGTTGCTACGGGTGACAAACTCACCCCAAACAGATTGAGGGAGTAGAATACTTTTAGTTCATTTCCTCACCAATCAATGTGTGTTTCAATGTGTGTGTGTGTGTGTTGTACAGCCTTTCGAAGCTAAATCATCCAACAAAATCATGTTTTGTCATGAACTGGAGAAAAAACAAACTTGTGGGTGTAAATGGTGAAACAATTATTCAAAACTGATAATGTGAATGACATGATTTACTGTTATGATGCCTCACTGATCATTATAATATGATCCCAAAGGTTGAAGGTAGTGGCCGATTATATAGGGTCACTCTGTAGTAGGTTTACTTTTCTTTCCATCTGTAGCATCTTTTTAGAAATCTTACTTTTTTCGCGGCACTAAATGACCATTATTGTGTCTGTGCGCCTCTTTTTGCACAAAGAAACAGTTAAGCAATATTATTATAGATGAGTAAATTGCAACAGACATAATAAGTGAGGAAATTCTATAACTGTTACACCTCACCTACCAGTTCGCATTCTCACTTAGTACGTATTTCCACATATAGACATTTGTGGGTGAGTAAATTACTACAGACATAATGAGTGGAGGAGAACTACAATGGCTAAGGCAAGTTTCAATAAAATGAGCCCAATCCTAAAAAATAGAAACATCTCAATGAACACCAAAATGAAAGTCCTGAAATGCTGTTTGGTCAACCCTTCTATATGGCTGTGAATGCTGGACAATCACTAAAGACAGTGAAAATAAAATAGAAGCAACAGAACTGTGCTTTCTTAGGAGACTGCTAAGAGTATCGTGTTCCCACATATAGACATTTTTAGGTGAGTAAATTACTACATACATAATGAGTGGGGAAATTCTAAAACTGTTACACCTCACCAACCAGTTTGCATTCTCACTTATTACATATTCCCACATATAGACATACCTAGGTGAGTAAATTACAACAGACATGATTAGTGAGGAAATTATGGAAAGTTATACCTAACCAACCAACGCGTATCCTTTCGGAGTGGATGTTTCCTCATTGAAACACCTAGGTGAGTAAATAAGAACTGACATAATGAGTGAGAAAATTTATGAAGCTATTAAGCCTCATCAACCAATGTTTGTTCCAACATATCTAGGTGTAGGTGGTTGGTGAGTGCTCTGGTGTGGTCTGCTCCTTCTTTCCTATCAAACAAATATCGTCCATATCTCCTGTCCTTCTTTTTTATGTTTGTTACTCATTTGTAACACCTCTAATCTTCGGCTCCTGTATGACCTTATTATGTTGCAAGTGCCGTAAAACTTTTACTAAAACGAAAAAAACATCTATCGTCCTTATCTCCCCTCCTTCTTTTTTATGTTTGTTACCCTCTTGTAACACCTCTAATCGCGTACCGTAATACTCTTTCTAAAAAAAAAACAACCAACACATATCTAGGTGAACTGGGCGCCTAAAGTCCCCAAAGACCAGGCGTTGAAGAAATGTCTGCCGTCGCTGAAAGCTCCGACGCTGGTCACAGAACACAAGTACTGTCAGGCCACTGTCATGGAGGGAGACGGTGTGGAACTCCAGTTTTCTGTCATGTGAGTGTTTGTGTGTGTGTGTGTGTGTTTACGTGTGTGTGTGTCTGTGTGTGTGTGTGTGTGTGTGTGTGAGAGTGTGCGTGCATGTCCAGTCACTGAAAGCTCCGACGCTGGTCACAGAGCACAAGTACTGTCATGGAGGAAGACGGTGTGGAGCTCCAGTTTTCTGTCATGTGAGTGTGTGTGTGTGTGTGTGTGTGTGTGTGTGTGTGTGTGTGTGTGTGTGTGTGTGTTTGTGCGTGTGTGCGTGCGTGCATGCGTGCGTGCGTGCGTGCGTGCGTGTGTGCGTGCGTGCGTGCGTGCGTGTGTGTGTGTGTGTGAGAGAGAGAGAGAGAGCCCATGTACGTGTTCTGCTACTGAAAGCTCCAATACTGGTGATCGTCATCATCTTCAACATCATCAATGTCATCTTCTTCATCATCATCATCTCATCATCGTTGTAGAAAAAGTACAAAAGTGAGTCTTGAATGCGATTCCATCCGTTAATTTTGAAACATTTTGTTACAGAAGCAGCTCAATTTTTAGTGTTTTTGTCATTATCCTGATCTTGATCATCAATTTCATCATCATTGTTACTTTAATTGTTTTATGCGTTATTATTTTTAAGATTGCTGAAATGCTTGACTCGAGCCATCAGTCTGTTGTGCCTTGCTGTCCTGACTGTGTGTGCGTCTGTTTGTCTGTGTGTCCCCTCAGGGCCCAGGTGGGTGAGCCCAGTCAGATGAAGGCGGAGCTGACCGGGGAGAACAGCTGTTTGTTGGGGGAACCTCTGGCCGGGATGCTCAACCTCACACTGATGGATGGATTCGGGAACCAAGTGCCTGTGAGTGGTGGGGATGTGTGATGGGGATGTGTGGGTGTAAGTGTTGATGTGTGGGTGTGTGTGGGGAAATGAGAGGAGGTATGTGTGTGTGGTGGGGAGTTTAACCTCATGCTGATGGACGGATATGGGAACCAAGTGCCTGTGAGTGGGGATGTGTGATGGGGATGTCTGGGTGTGTGAGAGGGTTGCATGTATGTGTGGGGGGAGGGGGGGGCAGTCAACATCACACTGGATGAATATGAGAAACAAGTGCCTGTGAAGGAGGAGATGTATGTGTATATGAGGGGAGGGCAGTGAGTGTGTGTGAGTAGGATAAGGAATGTGAGGGTGGGGTGGGGGGAGGGGCTGGGCTGTGCAGAGTGATGATTATGTTAGCATGTATGTTTGTGTGTGTGATAGGTTGTGTCAATTGTTTCTCCCTGAGATATTCCCATCAGCATTGACTATTTGACTTTTATTTGTCTCTCTTCCAGATGACTGCTGCCATGTGCAAAGAAGTGACTTGCCAGGCGCCTTCCCTGTTTTCTGACATTGTCAAGGTCATGGCTACCAGTGTAAGACACAGCTAAGATTTTTTTGTTCCATCGTTTCATTTAAATTTCCTGAGCCTAATCCAGAATTTGTGTGTTTTTAAATGTGACAGGCTGAAATTGGTGTTGGATGAAGCCAGTTTTTGGACAACATAGACATTTAAGGGTGTGCTGATAAAATAAAATATTTCTGGCAATAGAGATGTCAGTGGAAAACCAACACATGGGTCTGCAGTAGTAGGATCTGCTGGGGGTATTAATTTTTAACTAATGCCGTTATCTTCAAGTTTAACTCATCCTTTTATTATTTTGTACGTATAAATTGTACAAACTCGGCTGAGAAGTTTGACTTATCCAAGTCCCCAGTGCTAAATTCCATAGTTTTTACATTGTAATGACACAGAAGTTCAAGACGTGCACCTGTCTAATACAACCACCTTTCTCTTGGATAATGGGTGGCGGTGCTTGAACAATTTTGACTGTACTATTTACTCAAAATCAAACTTGGAATAGATCCCAAAAAAATAATTTTTTTAAAAAATTAAAAAGATCAATATTGTTAGTATTTCAGAGAGAGAGAGAGAGAGAGAGAGGGAGAGGGAGAGAGAGAGAGAGAGAGAGAGAGAGATGTGCGCTGCATATGTTCTTTGTATTATTGTACAGCGCATTGAGCACTTCTTTGTGGAAATGCGCTATATAAATGCAATTTATTATTATTATAAGTTTTGTTTTTCTTTGTGTGTGCAGCATAACCAGGCCCTGGTAAGGAACCTGGTGTTCACCCAGATGGGCTGTAAGGAGGTGGAGCTGGGCTGGAGGGGCTTGACCGCATCGGTTAAGTGTGAGGTGCTGGCCGGACCACCTGCTCAGATACAGGTCCTAGACTGGTCACAGGACCAGGTGAGTTGGCGTCTGTTTGTGTAAGATAAGATAAGATGCATCTTTATTGTCCAGATTCTGGCACTTTGATTTGGTATTTTACAACGTACACACAAACACACACACACACACACACACACACACACACACACACAGACATGCACATACACTTGTATGCACACACATGTGCACACCCATATACTCACACACACTCTTCCCTCACACATCCTCTCTTCCATACACATCTGTGCACATAACCATAATAATATAATAGTATGTTTGCACTCTCAAACAACGTAGTATAAATGAACAGTAATATAAAAAATAATAATGTTCAGCTGGATAGGTACTCAGTATTCTGATTGTAACAGACAGACAGTCAGAAAAATGTACACTCAGACAATCTAACCACCCCACTTCCATCTTCCTTCCCCACCCCTTCCCATCCTCTCCTCCTCCTCCTCTCCCCTCCCCCCTCCCCCCTCCCCCCCAGGACAAGGCTACTGACTGAAGTGTCTTTAGGCCATTCCCAAAGGGGGGATATTAACATGTTCTTATGCTCAGTAGAATTGTAAATGGGCTGATTTATCAATGTCATGCTCATATTATGCAGGAACAACATAAGGGGAGCTGCTGCTTTTTCTTTCCTCATCCTCACTATCGTCATTTTTCCTCTACTTCTTTTGTATGTTTGTCACTCTTTTGTCAACTGCTATTTCCGGGCTGCCCTGATAGTCGAACCTTGTGCTGTTTAAGGCAAGAGAGGTGAGCGGAGCAAGCCTGATTCCCCGTTTGGACTTCTCTGTTGACATCCACCCCTTGGCGCTCATATGACCTTATGCAGTTGCAAGTGCTGTAAAACCTTCCTAAAACTGTTTGTCTTACTATGTCACTCTACTAAATGATCATTATTGTGTTGATGTCCTTCTTTTCACCCAAACATTATAAACGACCACAACAACATCATCAACCATCAAGAATGAAATATTAAAAGTGGTGTCTACGTTGTGTTCTCCCCGCCTCCCCAGGTTGTATCTGCCTACAGCGACCGGCCTCTCCCGTGCCCACTCAAGGTACAGCTCCTAGATGCAGAGGGAAACCTGGCCAAGACCAAAGACGTCAAAGTGCACATTGTTAAGGACGCTAAGGTCAAGGTGAGTTGTGTGGCACAGAGCTCTCTTCTTCAGTGGGTGGTTAGCGGGTGCTTTGGTATGGTTTGCTCCTTCTTTCCTATAAAAATTATATTGTCTCTATCTTCCCTCCTTCTTTTTTGTGTTTGCTACTCTCTAATCTTTGGCACTTAAATAACCTTATTGTGTTGCAAGTGCAGTAAAATTCTTACTGAAACTTTTAAAAAAGAGCTCTCTTCCTTGGTGTGTCTTGTACTGGTCACTAATTGTTTGCGATTATTTCGGGTGACATAGTGTTGAGGGTGTTGACAAAAAAAGGCCTGTGCATATAGTCACTTTCAGCTTGCTGATATGATCCAAACATAAATGTGTCATGACACTGTAGAATCAGGCGCTCGTCAATTTTTATGGGCATGTTCAGTTATTGGTATCATCTCAAAGCTTGTTCCTTTGTCTTGCCTTTGATGAAAAAAATACCTGTTTACCTTGAATAGAAGTTGAGATATCCGCAACTGAACGAGGTGGAGGTTGTCTTGTTTCAGAGCTTAAAATAGCTAAAGAATATGGTATCAATAGAAATTCTACAAATTGTCGATTTTTGGCCGATATCTGCTTTTGTGGATTGCGAAAAGTAACTCATTTTGTCAGCATTATTTGTCCCATTTGACCAGAAGTAGCCATCTGTAAAACCACATTTCTTCTGCTTGGATCCTGTTCTATATCTTCCCTTTTCATGCCCAGGCCTCACTCTAGTGCATAATTACTGGCTATATAATAATAGATAATAGACAGCATTTGTATAGTGCAAATCCCTACTCAACAGCAAGCTCAATGCGCTATATCAGATTTGAACCATGGCTGTGATAATTTATTTCATTGTCTTTTCCTACTGGCAGATGTCAACATCAGGGTTTGTGAAAACGGATAAGGATGGTGTGGCCGACTTTGGAACTTTGACACTTACTGCTGATAGGTATGTCCTGGTGTGTGGGTGTGTGTGGGAGGTGGGAGTGTGTGTGTGGGGG